AGTAAAGAACAACAACAACAAAAAAAAGAAAACGATGAATCGATTATTAAATTAGTCATTGATTATTTTAATAATTGATTAGTCATTGACTAATCGTGGCAGCCCTACTCCACAATAATCATTTCTAAGCAGTGACTAAACAGAGCACAGTTCAGAGAGGGCATCGACCTAGGCAGTGATGTTCTGTAAATATTTTTAAAGGTAACTCCCAGCTAGTGCATCCCAACATGACATTTAGTCAAAATTACACACAGAAACAACACAGACGAGTCCCTCAGYAGGTGTTCTTTCTTTTAATCTCCAGACAAAACTGTAAATGTTAATGCTGTGCTAGGTAGTTCTTTACAGATGTTCTCACTGAAAGGTTTACAAAACAGACTGTGCTAAAGGTAAGTAAGTAAGTAAATAAATAAATCATCCGAGACCAAAGTGACAAGAAAGAAAGAAAGAAAGAAAGAAAGAAAGAAAGAAAGAAAGAAAGAAAGAAAGAAAGAAAGAAAGAAAATGAACTGGCTGCAGCTAACTTTACTCGAAAGAAAGAAAGAAAGAAAGAAAATGAACTGGCTGCAGCTAACTTTACTCAACACCATAAGAACAAAAGACATATCTGAAGAAAGCCATCAAGGAATTTAAAGAAAAGTTCAAATATAATTTAATAATCTGGGATTTAAAACTACAGTCCGGCTCTGATAGCTTTAAATTACTGTCACATATTTGGCAACTTATCAACCTTAGATAATCAGATCATTAACGCTAACTCTCTGTGGCCGCAGTTTTACTTACGTTTGACTTCATTGACTTCATTTTCTGTCCCAAGTCAAAACATATCACCCATCTGATASGAAGACAGTCTATTACCGGCTAACTTTACCGACCAATAAATGCGTTATATTTACCTGCAGGTAAAATGAGTGTTAACTAACTCAAAACTGGACGCTTTTGTGCCCAGCCGAGTGTTAGCAACCCTCTAAGTTAAGAGCTAACAAAACACAGGAGGACGAAGTAGAAAGTTGACATTGCTTGGTTACGATGTGTACAGGTATTGTTGTGTAAATGTTGTGTTTGTGAAAGACAGACGCATGTTTTTACATTATATTTCCCCCCACAACAGAAACATTAGCTATTCGGCTGTTAGCCTGTTAGCTACTGGCTAGCTTAGCCTAGCCATGTAGCACGTGTTTCTGATTTATAAAATAACTACCCAACAGAAGCTAGTCAGCTAACTATGAATGTAGTTAAGAAAAGAGCAACCAGACATTTTAAGACTTTAACATTCGAGTTGTAAAAAGGTTCGCGGGYTAACAACGCAACGTAATAGAGCCGAAAAGGTCAACGCGGCTATGTATGTTTGTTTTCCAACGAATAGTCGGACCCCGTCATCCAACAACAGAACAGAGAAACCCCCCCAAACCAATGGACAGACAGCAGCTGAAGCTAACTAACCTTAGCGGTGGGGCAGCAGAGACCATTCGGTGTCTGTCGACAACGCTCCGTAGCGTAGACAATGTCCCCGGTCCTCGTCAGTCGATGCAGACTCGCTCAGAGATGTYGTCTCTTCGACTCAAAATCTCGCCCCAGAATTAATCCACAAGAACGTGTTTTCGTTTTCATTTGTTCCGCTAGCGGTTTTCAGCGGCGTACTGCCTGTTCCTGCAGTAACAGCGGTCTGATGCTGCTCCCTCAAACCGCTGCTGCTCAGACCGTGGCAGGCTTGAACCTCCTCTGTGTCTCTATAGGTTCGCAGGCTTCCTCGCCCCTCCTCCCTTCACTCAGGGACTACACACTTCACAACAAACCCACTGTCAGATGGATGTGCTCATAACACTGTCTTTATTGCCCAGGGACATAAAAACTGGTGTGTTTTTTTAGTTCTCTACATATTGTTTAGCATGCCTCATCCTGTCATCCTTTTAATGTCAATATTAGCCTGTCCATAATTTGAATAACAATAATAATAATAAAAAAAAAATCGTGAATACACCACATACTGTATTCATGTTACATCTGCAGGTTTTGTGTGTCCTAATAACGCCAGCATAAAAAAAAAATCATGAATTAGCAGTCAAATGTAAGACATTATTCACACGTAATAACCAAAATGATTAAATTTCTTTTTTTTTCTCAAAATAATAGTTCCTTCCAACAAAAAGGACATAGTCCTGTTAATTATAGTACTTCATTTCAAGCAAGAGCTATAAACTGATATCATCTTATCTTGAAAAATAATAGTTTTAGTATTTTTTGTCAAATCTTTAAAAAATAAGTTGTGTCTATATAAATCTTATGCAATTGGTTAGTATTTGAAGTGTGTTTTCAAAATGACTCTCAGCTCATACCAAGCCTATTTATAGGTCAAAATCAGTAAATATTTATAGCTTTTTTTATGTTTGGTAAGGTCAGACTGTCTCCTAAAGTGAGTTGTTTGTATTATTTGAGAGTTCATCAAAATCTTTAATTCAAAATATAGACAAACACGTATAAGGAGGAAAATACACTGTGCAATGGGTTAAAGAGTCTATGGGGAAAGTTGTGAGAACTGAGGTTCATCAGGGCTTTGCTCTCAAATAACAAGTAACGAGATTAAGAAGCAGGGACAGATTTTTCCAGCATTGCGGGCCAGATTGTCCACTCTAGCAGCAAAGACGTACCCTAACCATACACCATATCTCTTTCAACATCCACTCTCATACCACCATGATGGCAAACAGAAGCAGTAAAGTTAGTTTGGTAAGACCCTGTCTGACCCATGGATTGGATGATAAGTTTGGAAAACACACTATTCATCCACACCGACAGGAATCAAGGGGTGAAACCAATAAGGGTAACTCTGTTTGCCCTTAGTGGTTTTCTGGACATGACCAAACTCACAACCCAAAGAAAAACTGAACGGTATTGGAAGGTGGGATGGATGTAAGGATAAGAAATATTATTACTTTTGTTGTGAACTTCTCCCTCCTATTGTTCCTCTCTGAATACCAGAACAACCTCCAAATCTGCTCCGAGCTGAACCCGGGGTCAACTCAAGCATTGACTCTCCAGGAAGTCTACATCTGTGTTCCCTGATCCCCACGGAGAAGTACAAGCTGTGAATACACTGGCTTAACATTGAAGGATAGTTTTTGGGAGATCACAGCACCTCATGCTGTGTAGATAGTTGATGACTTTACTGAAGCCAGTGCCCTGGAAATGATCTGAAACCATTTTTTTCCTCACCTTCAAACGGAGGCTGGTGAAATCACCACCCGTGCTGCAGACGTTGCTTTCACAGAAAAGATGTTGCAAAAAAAAGGATTTTTGAAATCTGCTGCCTGCTGCCTGATACGTTGACAGGGTTTGACAAGTTTTAGTAATCAGATCTACTTGATTTTTAATTACATGTTATTTTCATTGGCTCTGTTGTTGGTATTTGCCAYAAGTATTTGGCACTTTACAGACAGGCTATATCATGACCTAAATCTCAGAGACAGCTTTCCCTGTCATGTCAGATGGGATTGTTTTCCTTTCCCGTGTTTTTCTTTCGGCTCTGTGGTTTGGCAGACCTCCTTCAACCACCCTCTCTCCTCATTCAGCCATCGCAGAGCGGAGAAAAGATAAGTGTTTGTTTCTGCCCCATTATCTGAACCTATAGCCATATGCCTGGGTAATATATTCCCTTATCTCCACTAGTTTTTCAGCTCTGTGATAAAACAGAAACATTATTTTCTCACCTGCCAGTGCTCAGGTCCACAGATGTTCATCTAATAGACAAAAAATTAAGTGTCTCAAGATCTAGTAAGATCAAAAAAGGCACATTTCATGCCTGGAACAAAAATAATAATATTTGCAACACACTTCAGAGGGGAGCACCTGACGCCGGATCTCTTCCACAAGTTGCAGAAATACCTCAAGAGGTTTGTTTTAATAGGTCCTGGGCCCACATGAAAGGCAACACACGGAGCGACTGCACCAACTAGGCAGACTTTGAAGATTTCAAAGAGCGTGAGTTGACAGATGCACTGCAGACAGTCATTAGAATTATGAAATAAAAGATGAGCAACGGAGAATCCTTCAGAACAGAGATTGGGATGGCGGTGGGAGGTGGGGGGTGGGGGAATCATCAAAACAGCTCTGATTGAAGCCTCCTTTTCCGAATCCTAAGCTTCGACAAGTAATATTCTCAGTCAGACTTGTACATGTTGATACATGTGAATTATTTCCAAAGGACATTGCAGGTTTTTTTATGAAATTGGATTTTAAGAGGGTGGTGGTGAATACTATAGCATATGTTGCTATTTGTAACTTGGTATAATTACATGCCAGGTTTGCGGTGATGTACAACTGTAGCAGAGACATCATTCATTTTGTCACGACTGATCTGGAGTCAGGCAAGCCTCAGAAAAAATKATCTTTCTCCATCGCTCTTATCAGCATGGTAACAAATGTGCCTGTTTGTCATTGTAGCGACACCGTTTTAATACAGCTGATCTGTTCAGGGTTTACAATGATTGCAAAGTCAGGGCTGTGATTCACAGCCACGAGGCATCACCTGACCTCCTCTTCCTCACCTCAACAAAGAGAGCGCTGCGAGCAGAAATGGCAGCGCCTTGCTGCAGAGCCTGTCGACTGGCCGCATTGTTGGAATTCCCGCTTAACTTCCTGAGTCTCTCCACACCTGGTCYACTGCCAGCACACGCTTCTCTCTTATGCTTTTTTTCCCTTTTCCTTTTTATAAAGATCACAATGTTTCTGATTATACGCTGGATCTTACAGCTTAACCCAAAGTTAGATCACCTTCTTTCTGTTAGATTATACTTTGATTTAACAGCTCTTTGGGTTTTCTATCACTGACAATGTGCTGGATGAAGTTTTTTTATTTATTTATTTTTGGAAAGCAGAGATGATTTGAAAATGATCTAATGTGGTTTTGATTTAACCTCAGTGGTGCCCAATCCTGGTCCTCTAGGACAGAAGTTCTCAAAGTGGGGTCCCTGGACCCCCAGGGGTCTGCGAGAGGTATCTTGGGGGTCCTCAAAATTTTTTACTAAAATGATAATTTTGTTTTTATTTTTAAAAATGCTTGGAGAACAAAGAACTAATATAACAAACATGATAAACTTAATAAAAAATATACAGTATATTCCCATGGCATTTAGGGGTTAAAATGACAATAAATTATCTTTTAAAACAGCATGGGGTTTATGAGGGAGTCCCTGGAATTTTTTTGCCCTTGTAAGGGGSCCCCCCAGACCCAWATGKCTTGAGAACCCCTGCTCTAGGCCCTATATCCTGTATGTTTTAGATGATTTTCTGCTTTGRCACACCTGATCTGAAGAAATGAGTGCTTGCAGGCCTCTGCACAAATAAAACATGAGGAATGGTGGCCCTCGAGGACCAGGATTGGGCACCACTGYGAGGGCAACAGAACCACTTGTCACYATCACTGAAAGCAAAAGGGTGATAGCAGTGTTCAAGTCCCTGTCTGTTAGCAAAATATCCAGAGTTGTAAAGTAACTAAGTGCAAATACAGTACGTTGTTACTGTACCTAAGTAATTTTGGTTATCTGTACTTTACTTGAGTAATTATTTTTCAGCGCACTTTTTACTTTTACTCGTTACATTTTTACACAATCTACTGTATACTTTCTACTCACTACATTTTTTTTAAAAGTAAGAAGCAGAAAATTGTTACTCCCATTTTATTCCACGTTGTTATTGAAAAATACTATCCTGATAAATTGTGTCTCCTGGATAAAGTGAATTTAATTGTGGTTGTATTAGAAGTATAAATATATACCATTCTGATACCCTATTAGCTTGTACATAATCCATCACAGCTGCACGCTGTCAGAAAAAAATATATTTTGGAGAACTCACCTCCCAATAAATGTCATTTTGTAAATTCTAACTGCTCACTTTTACTCAGTACTTTTACTTTTAATACTTAAGTAGATTTTGAGTCAGAAATTTACTTTTGATACTTAAGTACAAAATGTATCAGATAGTTTAAGATTTTTACTCAAGTAATATTTTTAGAGGAGACTTTAACTTTTACCAAAGTATTTTTATGATAAGATACTTGTACTTTTATTCAAGTATTACTTTGAGGTACTTTATACAACACTGAAAATATCTCATAAACTGACTGTAATAAGACTTCAATGAATGATAGCCCTTTCATTTGGTCATGCTGCTGATTGTACTCGAGCCTCCTTTTTGTGCCCGTTGGACGGACACAGTCACTCGTTCAGAGTCCAAGTGAACCTCTGTAATGAAGCTGGCATCGACCCGACATTTCTGGAGCTCACTCAACCATCTGTTAGGCTGCATGGATCCATGTGGCGTTCATTAAAGTGGACATTGCATGGATGTTTTCCAACACGAATGTCATCAGTGTTTACAAAAAAAAAAAAGAGAGAGGGGAAAAAAACACATTCTGTTTTTAACAAGAAACACATTTTAACCAATAATATTTCTCGACATTTCATGTCCAAGTCATGTTTCGCTCCTTTAAACAAATGAAACACAGAAACAGGCACATGTGAGGGCTTCTCTTAATGATCAAACAGCCAGCTCTGATGTTTATTTGTGCACTGAAACACGATCAGACAGTCCTGACAGTGATAACACCCAGGTCTGGCTCCGATGAAATCAGGTCATGTTGTTGTGTACTTTCTCAGAAGTCAAACTAAGGCACCATAAACCTTAACAGTTGCAGCGACAATGGTGC